AAAGAAGGTTTTCCGTCTGACCTACTACATAAAGAGATTGCATGCTCTTGGAATTACTCGTCATTTTCTCTTACAATTTGTCAATTCCTGCATATTACCTATTATTCTTTACTGTTCTCCATTATTCTTTCCCGGGCTTTTGAGAAAAGACTTTGCTGTATTGCGAAGAGTGCTAAAGGCAGTTAGTAAGACGTGTGGTGAATCTTCCGAGGTCATAATTAATATGGTTGTGGACGGACATTTAAAATCTTGCAAACTCCTAGCAGGTGTTATTTTATCAGATACTAGCCATCCCCTTCACACTTATCTTTCTCCTTGTATATCTTCTGGCAGAACGAGACGTAATTACATTAAAATCCTTGCACGCAAGGAAAAGTATAAAAGTTCTATAATACCTTACCTAGCAAATATACTCTGTGACGAACAGGTTGTTAGAATTAACTTGGTCAATAACTTACATTCTTAACATGTCTTTAATTTTAAAAGTTTGTAGTTTCTTTTGGGTTTTTTTTTTAATTTTTATTTTATATATTTCCTTATGTATTCGCTACTGCCTTTTTGTTCGTTGTTCAGTAAGTAACTTGTTGAAATACCCTGTGCTGAGAATTCTATATTGTACCAAAATATAATATTGAATAAAGCCATTAATAATAATAATAATAATAACCTATAGGGCTGATCAGACTTTCAAGATAAGTGAGGTCGTCAACGCGTTCGACTACTTCACTCCCTATCCTTAGTTCAGGTGTTGACGCAGACCAGTCCTGGAGCAATAACTTGCATCTAGAGGGAGAGAAGCTCATTCCAAACATTCTGGCATTATTGCTTAGTGCTACCAAAAGACTGCATTTTATCAGCGTCTTCACCAAACAGGACTACGTCATCTGCGCATTCCAAATCGATAAGTGGACCTCATGGAAGGAGACTAATACCCCAGAATTCAGTCGACGAGAATGTTATTTCCATCATTAAGTCTATGGTGAATTTTAAAAAAATGGGAAAAGTGGAAAGCCTTGACGTACACCACTTGAGGTTGCAAAAGCAGATGGCAGCTCGCCATAAGCTCTGACTCGACTAGTAATGTTCGAGTAGAGAGCCTTCACAAGGTTTATGTACTTCTGAGGTACACCTTTCAGTGACGGACACTGCCACAGAACCTCTCGGTCTACAGAGTCAAATGCTGCTTTTAGGTCAAGAAAGAACACCATTGTCGGATGCCGATAAGTATGCCTGTGTTCTAGAACCTGACGAATGGTGAGTACGTGGTCGATGCAGCCACGACCAGGTCTGAAGCCAGCTTGATTCTCTCATGTTTGCAGTTCCCGAGTCTTAGTTAGGCGCCCGATAATTTTGAGGCTAGTATTTTAGATGCTATATTAGTCAAACTAATCCCTCTATGGCTATCACCGGATGATTTTGACCCCTTCTTATATATCGTGACAATAAGTGATTGCGACCAGTCAGATGAAATAACGTCTAACTCCCAGATCCTAGCTAAAATATTAGTCAACCTAATTGCTAAAATTGGACCACCATCCTTAAAGACCTCTGGAGCCAATCCATTTGCCCTTCCTCGTTTCAGATTAACTATAGCCTTTTGAACTTCTGCTAGAGTTGGGTGACCTACTTCAATGTTCCATTCACACTGTCTGGGAATGGAGGGTAGTTGTAGAGTAGCTGAAGGCCAGTTGAACTGTTCTCTGAAATGTTCCACCCATCGTTCTTAACGTCTGGACTGAAAGCAGATGAGGGTGTCGTCTTTTTCATGGGACCATCGAGTAAGTAACACAGTTGTTAGGAAACGGGTACTAGGTAAGGATGGCAAATCAATTGATAAAGTAGTGAAACTTCATCAGTTGAGATGGCTGGGACACGTGTTACGTATGCCCAACGACCGACTGCCTCGACGTGCTATGTTCAGTGGTATAGGAGTAGGTTGGAAGAAAGCTAGGGGCGGCCAAACCAAAACATGGCACAAGTCCATGAAGTCACTGACAAGTGAACTCAGTCATGTTGGTAGGTGTAGACTACCTGGTTGGGGACCGCGAGATGATAGCAACCGATAGTTAGAGACCCTGAATGACATGGCTCAAAATCGTTTGCAATGGCGCAGGTGCATCCACTCTCTGTGTTCTCCCAAATTCTAATCTTCTGAATTCTTCATGTCCCTTTTTCCTCTTTCCAAATTTATTTCACTGGATTATACTCTTTAAATAACATCTCCAAACCCTAATCTTCCCGATTACTGCTTATACTCTTATTACCTCTACCACTACGGGATTTGAATCGACAACTGCATCTCTGTGCTAATGTGGTGTGGCAACTCGAACTGATGTACGTACGTACGAAGTTCTACGTTGTTACTGACTGACTTTTTCCGAAATAGTCTGACTTACACTTAGCTTATTAATTCCAGTTTCTTTTATTAGTCTGTAAAGCTGTCTTGTGTTCCCTATAGTCGCCGCCTTTTCCATCTCTTTTGCTTTCCTTGCCCACCACTGCTCACGGTCGTTCCTTAGACCTTTGCTTAACCTAGATCTGATTTGTTGTCGCTCTTCATCGTGTTCAGAGCCTGATGGGATGAGTTTACGAGAATCCACCAGTGCAATAGACCTTGAGGAAGTCTATTGGTTCTTTGTAACCCTGTGGTTTAAATCATTGATAGATGACACTGCTGTTTGTTTAGCTTTCCAAGTAACATCTGGGTCAACCAAGTTTTCAGAACCACCTAATTGTGACCTCAGTTGTTCCTGGAACCTACTTTTGGTTTTTCTCTACTCAATTCAGTTCTAATGGATATTTTTACTGAAGCTATTTTGCGTCCAGTGAGGCGCAAGCAGATGCGTGCTCGTATTAGGGCGTGGTCAGAGTACAAGCAGGTACTCCAGAATGAGCGACAATCTTCTACCGACCCTCTCCAACGATGACTGATGGCGATATGGTCTATTTGAGTCCATCTTTGGTTTGGTGTAGGGGATCGCCATTTTAGACGATGTCTCTTCTTATGCTTAAAATAAACGATTGTCTGAGCACAGTTGCAGCAGACCATCAACATTATCTGTTCGTTGTGCCGGAATACTAAAATACCCACCTAAATGCCTTTCTGTTCTGTTTAACCTACCTATCTGGGCATTAAGGTCACCTGCTACGAGTACTACGTCTGAACGTTTAGCTTTCTGAAGAAGTTCAGATAGCTTTCTGTAAAATTCATCTTTCACTTCATCTGGGCTGCAGTCGGTGGGAGCGTAGGTAAAAACAACAAAAAGGCAACGACGTGTGTCACTAACCTTCCGAGTTCTTACGGAGCCGTTTAGCCTTATAGCACATAAACGACTGTGAACGGGAATCTACTCTAACAATGCTTGTTCCGCCCTCATGCTTAGTGCTATCCCGACCCCTGCCAGTCCACGACAGCTGGCAGCCGGGTCACCAGATACACGTGGGTGTATCTCGGCGGCTCCATGTTTTGGAGAGGTAAGGTCAAGTGAATGTCCACACTGGGATCCTGTATGCGTTTCAGAGACACAGCATACATCAATGGTACGAGATTCTAGGGTTCTAGCCAGGGAAGCCTGTTAACCGATTTGACATAGGGTGTGTACGTCGAAGGCTCCAATGTGTAGGTCGGAGAGAAGTTTCAGTAGACATGGGACAGTGTTTTGAGCACTAGAATCATTGGCTATGATGACACTAGAGGGGGAAGCCGAAAAAGGAAGTTTAGAGGTGAAAATCGATATAGGAGGAATAATGGGAAGTGAAGATGGAGGTTGATCATGGATACAGTGATACTCGGAATATCCTATAGGCTTTCACACGATTTTAATGAGAAGCAAGTATCACGTTTGGAAGATCACGACGTAACAAAACACACGAAATCCAGTACCTATGGAAGTTGCACTCGCGTTTTTAATGAAGTTCAGGACATAAACGAGAGAAGAAAAACAGTAAAACTACTAATCGTTAATTCAATTAGTCGCTTATGCATCATATACGGGATAGTGCAGTTATAACTGCCTTAACAGGGACAGAAAGGTTTTTATCTTGAACTGCTAAATTGATAAGTTACAAATTAATGTGACGAGCTGTAGTCCAAGAAATCTATCCTATAAATCAAAGATGAGCATTTTTATGCATAAACTTATGCAAAACAGCGGTAAGACTAATAAGATACTAAAAACCAACTCTCGAATAATGGACGCAATCAAATAGGTTGAGCAACCAACGATGAAAACTGGCAACAATCAAGGTTTGATTAGATTCATGTTCGCTGATCGAATTATCTTACACACCACTTCCTTAAATGCAGACAGACAATACTCTAAATTATCTGCGTCAAAAAATGAAAAACCGAGGTAGTCGCAGTACTTCAAGAGGGTATATGCCTTTCAGTTCGTTCATAGCCTAAAACTAATGGCAAATCAAACTTCTTGGAGTACAAGCAGTCCCGTTCAAAGAGGGATTTTATAAATACTAAAACCCTTAATTAAGCAGTTTTTTTAATTAAAGAGATAAAATATAATCTATACCCGTATATCCGGTGTTCATCTTGTTGTGCTGATGCGGTATGGCAACCTGGACCGATGCACATATGTGCCTGGTCCTACGTTGTAGCGGACTGACTGACTGTATATTCGACAAGGTTGATCAGTAGTAAATCCACTTTAGACAGCTAACTTGTCTAGTGTTGAAATAATCGGATTACTCAAATACTAGTCCACAGTTGACCATATCAAACACGATTCAAGAAACATTCGCAAACCTGGCTGAATCTCTTGTTTAATGAACTATGATTTCTAGTGAATACTGATCCTCCACATTCTTACAGTTGGCGAGCGACCAACCGTAATAAACAATAGCACGAGATATTTACAAGGTGATAATTAAGGAAAAAATATTCTGCGCATTTTGAAATAAATGGTGATATATGTTCCGCATACGACATGCTCTATAAGCCCAAAGAATTATAATTAACTGACGAAGGAAATATTAAAACAAACAAACAAAAGTCCGAATCTTTTATTTAAAGATGCATATTACCGGTTGGATTTGGCGACACGTTCCAACTCATCCTTCTTTTTGATTGCATAGGAATTTGAGCTGCCCTAAAAATAGTGCATGAAAACACCAATATTAACCATACTTTAGCGGCATTAAGAAGTTCGTCAGCTAGGCATTCTGATATGGTCTTAACATTTCTGAAGGCTGCTTCTCTAGCTCCGGTACACAAAAGATAAATTGCCTGGTTCACTCGTCGTAGAGGAGAGACATCAACTGCTTGACGTCGGACAGTACCACCACGACCAATACGAGTTGAATCTTCTCTTGCACCACTGTTAAGCACAGCATTGACGAGCACATGGATTGGGTTCTAAAAAAACACGGTTAGCTCTAGGGATTTCAGGTCATTCTTGGAATCGTATGGATCATACGAACGAGACAAATTCATCATAATAGAAACTTGAACCACATATAAAACTTACCTCACCAGAAAGCAAGTGTATAATTTCGAAGGTATGTTTTAGAATGTTTATCGCCTTGACCTTCTTTCCATTATTGCGACCATGCATCATAAGAGAACAGCACATGCGCTCCACTAAAGGACACAATGCTTTACGAAACCGTTTAACTTGATAGCGACCAGCAGTATGTGGAACGATTGGATTTCCTTTTCGCTTGATGTTGATGTAATCCTAAAACATGAACCATCGTCATAAAAATATCATACAGTTAAACTGAGATCATGTACATTTAGATCATCAGCACTCCACTTCCCGAAAAGCTTGATTTCTTGCTCGGAATCCATGATGTCAAACACGCCTATTACTGACAAAGTGAGCGCCTCACATCACCGATGACATATTCGAACAAGCAACTGGATTTTTGTGGAACTCCGAAGTTACTTGAAAATTGAATAGTTTAGACTGGCTACAAGCAAGCTTCGCTTGTCAATGTTATTGTGGAATTTAAGCTTACTCAATTGTTTGTCACATACGTCAGCGATCGAAGCTTAGTTTTTAGTATTAAGATGACAGGTCGATTGGTTAATATTAATTCTTGTTATGTGTGTCATAATGGAGATCCAGCTGTTTCTTTAAAATGTCCACTCATGTAGCGTGTTCCAGTTATTGACCACTCGATGAGAAAAACATAATATTTCTCTCAGTTTTTCATAATACCATTGATTAGCTACATTTCGCTAGACAACAAAGAGCCGTAAGCAAACAAAATATACTGTCCTACGCACACGGATGGATTGATATTATCTTGTTAGTCAAGAACGCTACGCTCCCTGCTTCTGAGATCTTAGGCTCTCTAATGTTTGTCGCATTTTTTAAAAATTGCTTTAATCCATGCTCCGCAATTGCATGCTCCGTTGAAGTACACTGTCTACAAGTTCTACCTTACAATCAAATCGGACAGTCAAAGCCCCTGTATTATATGTTAGATATCACACTGCTATGAAGTTAACTACTGGTGCAAATCATAAAATATTAGGAAGACAATATGTATAAATGTGCCACGAGTGTTCATAGTTTGACAACGCTTCAACCAGTAACACCTTTATAATCGTTTAGTCTAGGCTGGCTAATAGTTAAGAGGGATGCATAGCACAGCAAATATATGACCGAGCGCCTCCAGATAGGTGTGCCCAACGAAACTAATGAGGTCAGTATCGATTTCAAATGCTCGTAGAACCAATTAATTTGGGGATTTATTTACCGTTACACAACAATTGATTAAGTAAATGTCAATTTCTATGAGCTTGAGGTTTGAACATTTCGATATTGTAGTGCAGAGGACAAGTTAGAATCGCAGACAAAAATTCAATGACGTCGTTTAGCAAGTTTTTATGCTTTAGCGCAACACACTAGACCTCATCAAAAGAGTCATATAGATGACCAGGATCCAAATTAAAGGAAAATGTTGTCAGATGTTCGAGCACAGTTGTCAATGAGCTAGATCTTTTTCACTAGAGTCCATTTATCAGGAATTAAGATCGACCTACGAAATCAGTAGCAAGCAAGAGTTTAGTAGAGTACTAGCCTTATTCTCGTTATAATGTAATTGTTATTACTAATGGTCGTTCAGACAGTCTTATAAAACATGTTACAAATATCAAGTACATTGGCGAATCGCAGCAATAAACCGGTCAAGTACTTTGCTATCACCGTTCGTTCTAGGGAGAGTTCAATAAAAGTCCAAGTCCCCCCTGAAAATAGTCACTGATGGGGCTGATACCACTTGTTCTCCAGATTTTGACATCACCCGCAAAAAATAATCTCGACAGCTTAAGCGACAGCTGTCATTCATTAACGTAAAGAATAAAAGTAGGAGGCATAAGATGGCGCCTTGGGGTGCACCACTTTTGGCCGTCTTCTATTCCGATAGCCTTCCATTGACCCTCACTATCTGTCTCACGAAACAAGCTTCCTATTCATTCCTGTACAGTACCTGTTATTTCAAAGTTCGACAGTTTCTGCACAAGACCTAAGTGCGAAACCTTGTCAAAAGCTTTGCTAAAATATATGAACATCGCATGGAGAGACAAACCCATGTCTGCTGTCTGATTCTCTCTCCAGATAAGTAAGTGGGTTAAGTATGAATGACTTTTCCGAAACCCTTGTTGCTCTGGAAATAACAGACTTTACGATTCTTTGTGATTTGGTAACTTAAGCCTAATCATCTTTTCAAGTAACTTAACGATTATGTTAATCTAGACTGACAGGCTGGTAGTTAGATACAATCTGTCTTTGACCATCCTTAAATATAGGACTGACTATAGTGTCTTTCCAATCTCCAGGGAGTTGAGCGAGTGAAAAAGAAATGCTGAAAAGTGTCGTGAGCGATTTTGAAATATTGTCCGCAAGAGATGACGGTAGTCGTGGATGTAACCCACCACGGCCCGGCATCTTACAAGGTTTGAGGTTGGTGATCAATAAAAGAATAGCTTCCTCAGTCACAAGAACAGGTCATGTGGCTGGTATCTCAGCCGTGTAATCAGGACAAGTATTTGTAACAATACACGTAGAGTAGACATCGCTTCAATGGTTTGAAAAGGCCTCAGGTTTTGCTCGATCCGATTCAGCTAGTAAATCTGAATTTTCGTGTATCAGTAACGGGGGAATACCATCACTAAGTTTCGTTCGCCGTTTAACATACGAAAACAATGGTTTCGGACAAGTAGGTCTATCATATGCCAACTGTCGTTCGTAAATAGTACGAGATTTGACAATGACCTTTTTACATATATTCCGGATTTTTCGATATTCACACTTAAATGATGCGTGGCCTGTAGACAAGAATAGGTCACAGAAGTGTCTCCTACGCTTCAACAACTTCCGAGATTCCTTGTTAATCCATGGAGGGCAATGTGATGGCTTGCGTGTTGACCATGGGATAAACGGCGATGATACAGACTGGAATGTGGCCTTAAACTTATCGCCTTCGTCTTTGATCGATCCATCCGCCTCGACCGACCAGTCTGTCGAGATAGCACAGTCTCTGATTGCCAGAATATTGGCTCTCCGGATATTTAGACTGGGTGAAATTTTCGAGTACCGACTTCAAGGCCCTTCTTGGTTGAGTTTCGCCTCAAACCTACTTACCGAGTCTAATTACTCATAAGATATATACCCCTGAAACCTCTTCAGACAGTAGATTCCTTACGGTAGATCCCACTAACTCTACATCGTCTGCCTGTTAGCTACTGGGAGCTTACCGTCAGTTTTTATTGTAAACGAGTCGTGGGAGTCGAGCGATCAACTCACAACAATGTTTGATGTGGCCTTCGATAGGGCTAGATATTGTCTTAATTCGGGACTTTTCGGAGTAATCTGAAACGAAGAATGTGAACCCACGACGTCTCTCCTTTTTCGTGCCTTAAGGTAACCCTCGCGCTATTGATAGAAGAAACCAGAGAAGTAGTGAATAGGTCTTTATTTCGATCTTCGCGCAGTCACAGTCGAGCGTGGGATTATCTGTTCAGACAAACAAAGGCTCTCAACATTCAAGATAATAGGGGATATAACGCTTATGAAAAATAAGGAAGTGAATGAATACTTGAACAATACTGTTTTGGCATAAGCTTGGTTGTTTGGGGTCAACTCTTAACCAACCAACCTGAGCTGTTACATTAGCTTCCCCCTAGAATCGACTTCCGTAGGAACGTCGGTTCGATTAACCTATCTATCGAAAACACCTTAGTTCTATTTCTCATCCCAAGGGAAAATTATCAACTCGCTCACTATTTGACTTACAATCAGTGACGACTAACGCTGTCAACGATAGTCCATGGATGTCTCCTCATTTACTAGCTTGTCATCTTATTTTGTAGCTTGTGATCTATTCTACAACTATCGCTGACGGTTTACTGCGTGCTTTCAAGAGAAAGAGTGTGAGAATGTGGAATAAGAATATCTGAGGAAGTGCCGCGTTTCTCAGGACGAATGGCATGCGTACAAACTCGAATAAGCCAAAGGGTGTAGTAATAGCTGTCTTGGGAATATCTTCATCAGCCACCGGGATATTGTGATATGCCCTAACTAAGTCAATTTTAGTGAATATGTTCATACCCTGTAAACCGTTGGTGAAATCTTGGATATGAGGTATTGGGTACCTATCTGGTACGGTTTGACGGTTTAGGGCTCTGTAATCCCCGCACGGTCGCCAGTCACCTTCATTCTTCTTTAGGACCATATGCAAAGGGGATGCCCATTGACTATCAGAGGGACGGATGATACCCAGTTGTAGCATATATTCAAACTCGGCCCTAGCGATTTTGAGTTTATCTGGTGCTAGTCTCCTGGGTTTTGCAAACACCGGTGCACCTTCGGTTTTGATAGTGTGACTCACTTTTAGTTTGTCTTTAGAAGACTGTGGGTTTGGTTTAGTTAAGTTTGGAAATTCCGCGAGTATATCTTGGAATTTCGCTGTTGTTACTGGAGGAGTTTGAATCAAGTTAAGAGAGTTGATGTGACTCTCTTTGCCTTTTGTGTAATACGAAGTTTCTTTTAGTGTTAATCGCCGTTTCTTGGTGTCAACTAGAAATTCGTATCTCTCTAGAAAGTCCATCCCCAGTATTGCCAGATCTAGGTCGGCTACCGTGAAAACCCAAGGGAATTGCCTCCTGAACCCCAAATCTAGGGTTAAAGTTTTCTGCCCAAATGTCGCGATTTTAGTTTTATTTGCAGCTTGAAGTGTAATTGATGATGTTTCTCGACTAATCTCAGTTTTATTTCGAGGGATGATGCTAAGAGCAGCGCCAGTATCCACCAAGAAATTCAAGCCCGAGTTCCTGTCTCTAACATAAAACAAGCGACTGTTTAGGCGCCCCTCCTCAGTCGTCGCGACCTGGGGAGGGGTTACTCGTTTCCCGCTGTCTTAGAATTATGCTTAGGCCGGGCGCATGGTGGCCTGCACTTGGTTGAGTTGACACCAAACTTCCAGTGGTACCAACAAAACTGCCCAGATTGTTTGGACATTTGTGACCTGTTTTGTGACTTGGATCGTGGTCGTTGTGGTGACCTGCTCCTGTTTCTATGACCCATTTGCATTCTGGTGACAGCCTCAGTGAGACTCTTAACACTCGCAATGAGTCCTTCTATGACGGGGTCTTTTGCTGATTCTACTTTTTGTGTGTGATTTATTGTGCCTGATCCGGTTGGAGGACCTCTTTCCATTATTCTGTCGGCTATACGCGCTAAATGAGATAATGAGGTTTCAGGATCTTGTGCATCCAAACAGTGTTGGACGTAGCATGGGAGAGCTTGTATCCATCCTTGTTTTAGGACTGCTTCACCCACTGTGTTATCACCCACTAAGACTTGGAGGTGACGTAAAAACTGTGACGGCGACCGATCACCTAGTGTTTCACCTTGAAAAAGTCTTTGGATTCTTTGAC